TGTTTAGATATTTCCTCTTTGCACTATGTAGCTCTTGTGAGAAAGTTTTGGCACACACAGTATATTGGATTGACAAATAACATGTGTCCACTTGTATTCATTATCAGCAACTTTGAAATAACCTCAAAGAAATTTGCTTATTCAAACTCCATTAGTCAAGTCTTTTCTTTATTATTGAAAAGTCACATTAAGCTACTATGATCAGTACAATTTTGTTAGCGAAATAACAACAAAGAAATCTGCAAAAAAATGGTTAGCGAAAAGAGACCACTCTCATGTGCAATTTTGCTACTATGATCAGTTAAGCTAGAAAAAAGGAGTAAACGAACTATTATATATTTATAACGAACTTATTTATTCAATTATTAGAACAACTCCTCAGTTAGAACAAAACAGAACAAAAACATTCCTACACTTGTTTCTTTAGCGGAAATTTACCGAATTCAAGCTTCAATTTCAGGCTGCACTAATGGCTATAGTTTTTCGAACACTCAAGTATACTTATATGGTGGAATCATCTCCTTACCACCAAATCTCAATCACGACTATTAAAACTTAAAGTAATGGATGTATAAATTGGTATACTATAATAATTCAGATATAGAAGTTTTAAAAATAACGGAAAAGGGCCAAAACTACCCTTATCGTTTGCTAAATGGTTTATAAATACCTTCCGTCCATCTATCCGTCCAAAAAAATACACGACGTTAATTCTATTAACAGAATTACCTCTGTGAATAATGGCACAACTGGTGGACCTACATTTAATGACGTGTTATTTTTCTACTGGGCCACATGGCAATCTCTGACTCGAACAAAAATGGATATTATTTCGACCCTCTTAGCTGACCCAACCCAATGGCTTCCCCAGGTTCACTTGCATTTGGGCTTGCATGTTGTTTGGGGTCGGATCCCATGACATCAACACTGGGTTGAGTAGAGTCAATTCCTGTGGAGGGAAGAAGGGAAGTTGCAACCCCATATTTTTTGCTAAGTAGGAATTTTAGTTGAAGTGGGTTGGTAGGTTCCACTGGGCATGCATTGTTTGGATTAGATTGTTGTTCATTCCTGGAGCTAGTGGTTGCATTATATTGTTTACCCAAATGTGGTTCATGTAGTTTTCATAGCTAGATGAAGCCCCTCGGATACTAGTTGTGCAAGAAATTAAGGGTTTTGGATTAGAATTATGCTCTCTTGGCCGTTGATATTGAGTTGGAGTGAGACAGCTCTCCCCATTAATCCCAATTCTATCCAAGAAATTGGATGGTGATCCTGGGGTAATAGTGGTTGAGCATAGAACATTAGGAGGTTTTACATTTGGGGAGGAAAGGGAGGGAGGTTGTTCATAGTTTAGGAGATATGGGTTCTTAGTATTTGGATCAATCTGAACCTTCTCCGGGGATTGAGAGGCATTCTTGGCATTATGGTGGGAATGAGGGTGGTGGTTTATAGCGTTAGAGGTTTGAGGAGTAGGAACGATTGCTCCTATTTGCATGCTATCTGGAAGGATTAGCGTGTTTGGCTTAATAGAAGATTTTGCATGGGATTGTTTTGGCACGTGTCCCAAGGCAGATGACAATTGTGTGATGTTTTGATTTTCTTTGGCCGGTTGTGCCAATGCATACATATTGGATTAGGTAGTTTGGTAGATTTTAAAGCTAATTGGTGTATTAGGATCATTATTGGGGTTATTGGGATAGTTAGCATAGGTATTTAAGTTATTTAGAGTTTAATAAGGTTTTTAGTATTAGGAGTTGGAATTTTGTCTTCTGTGAATTTATAGGTTCATGAACTATATTTGTCTTTTGTGACCGGTTTATGCATGGAAGATTAGGGGTATTATTGCTATTATTACTAGTAATTTACTCAAATACCATTTGCTGGTTATCTAAGTGAATATTAGAGAAGCGGCTTTTTATTTCAAAGTGGTTTTAATCTTTATGTTTTGCAAAAATGTTATGATCTCAGTTAACTGGAAAAGAGTTTGTTTGCCCAGTAAGAGAGTCTTTAGGAATGTATTTTAATTTTTTTGGTAATAATGTACTTACCTGTGACAGCATTAAACAATTTCACATCAATACCTAAATCTTGGTTCTTGCCAAATTCTTCACGTCCTTTTGATGCATTGATTTTTTTGTTTCTTGTAAATGGCACTGTATGCCAGCCATCCGTTTGAGTTGTTGGAGGTTTATCATCCTTGGAAACTTTAGTTTGTCAAAGTTGAATCCTTGTTAGTATCATATCTGTAGGAATAATTATTTGTTGAGTGACCCAATCTACCACACTGTTTGCAAAAGAAATGGTTTGCTTCAATTTGAATGTGTTGTTTGTGAGGGCGAATGTAAATGAATTTCAGTACTGGTTCCTCCATTGGTAATTCTAAGCATAATATGGTGTATCTTCCTCGTAAGAAAAATGATGTGCATGCGTCCACTTTTAATAATCTTCCTGGCACGATCAAAAAAATCACAAATCGTGATGACACTTAGCTCAACCCGCTAGGTAAGCCAACTAACAGAAAAATACAACTCAATTGAGATTATAAGAGAAAAGAGAATAAATAACTAAATATTTATAAGTTTACCCAAGACCTGATAATATGAATCACGACCTTCTAAGATTTGAAATTTCAAAACTGATAAATAAAAATAAATACACGTTCTGTTTGAAGGTTACATAAACAGATTAGCAATAATCTAAAGCTATCAAGGACAAGTGGCAGTTATATCCAAACACACGAACATCTTCCGAATCAGCACCTGACGTCACCAACAGCTCCGCTCCAAAATCTGCACGCAATGTACAGAAGTGCAGTATCAGTACAAACAAACCCATGTACTGGTAAGTATTTTGTCTAACCTCGTCGAAGTGGTGACAAGGCTTTTAGTTAAAACATGTTTATTGTTATAACCTGCACATTAGATTAGCTGTAAAGTAGTTCAAAACATAACAGATAAAAGTATCATATACAACTCGGTGAGACAGTCAACAATTACTAAAAGAACCACAATAGAAGATTTATGATCTTCCCTAGTACGAGAAGTATGTCTAAAATATCAAATCACATGGCACATTAACACCCACAGAAACACAATGAAAGGAATTACGAAATAGGAAATATGCTAGTAACAATGGACAATGATATGCATGTGGGCCGCAGTAAAGGACTAAATGGAAGCACGTGAGTAATAACAATAATTGGAAAGCAAGGGATATCAGCGTCAATTAAACAGTATATTGAGGGCCTAAGTACAAATATGACAGATAAGGAGGAAATATACGATTTAAAGAAATACGATTGAATCATGGCAATAAGCATTACTGAAACTCAAAAATAAAAGGAACGAACCTTTGTATCAAATCTGAATTTTTGAGTTTTACAGCAGGAAAATCTCAAAACAAACAAGATTCAAAGGAGACCTCGAAGAACCCAGCCCTCGGTCGAATCTGGACCCGACCCAATTTCACATTGTTTTCAATTCTGGACGCAAATTTGTGGATTGGAACGCTGCAGTTGTAACTGGGAATGCGCTGGAACTGTGAGAGAATATGAGTGTGAATTCGAGGGTTAAGAGAATGAGAAATCGAGAAAAGTGCTGAAGCTTTTCGTTAGATTTCAAGTGGCAGCCATTTTTGTATTTTCGTCTCTTTCTCTGTTTATTTTTTTACTCATTCATCTCTATTCAATCTCCTTATTTCCGTTTTCACTTAGAAATTAGGAATTGGATCAAAGATTGTCTTCGATCTCCTTTCTTTCGAAAATGGCCGTTCTTCACCTTTTAAAATGGTGCTGTCGTTTTTTGTTTTTTCTCGCTTCTAGGTCCCTAGGTCTAGGGTGTTAGGTATTATTATATAGAGGTAGAGATTAGGTTAGGGGTATGGGCCTGAGAATTATGAGTTAGGTTCAAAATTAAGCCTAAAATGGATTGTTCGAACCCAAGTTTTATTCCTTCTCCTCAATACGACCATATTTATTAATTAGTCCTACTTAAATACAATAAACTATTAAAATAAGACTGACCGTTAAAACAAAACTTTTTTTTTGTATAATGACTACAACACATTAATGAAACTATTTTTTTGTAATTTTTATTTTCTTGTAATAAAATAAAGTAAAAAAAAAAGTAAAAATTAGTTGAAATAGCTATATTAGGCCTAAACTAAATATTTACGTACTAAGATATGGAAAATCTTGGGGAGGGTCAAAAATCATATGTCTACACCGCCTGCTCTGCCTTCACGTATTTCAGCCGTTAACCTTCACAACAAAATCTGTTAATCTTTTGGATGGAATCTTCACGCGCCAGCTACGTTTCACAGCAGCACTCCCTGGTTGAGTCAGCGTATCCATGGTGGCATGTGAGGTGTCCTCCATGTCACCTCTATTGGTCACAACAATGTTTCTCTCTATATTTTCTTTTTTAACTCATTATTTTCATCATTGCACAACTTATACTTTTTTGCTTTGTATTTGTAGAAATTTATACATCAAGATTGTATTTTTTTGTGTAGGTATTTTCTTTTTTTTATCTTTTTTGTGTTATCGAACATGTATAGAAATGTTGTCGACTTTCGAGCCAACATACACATAGAATATAGAATGAAAGAAATTTGTACATAAGATGATCTATGTACTAACCATATAACACACGATGGATTAATTTCTCTATATCTGTTTTCGAGAATTTCGATTAGGTATGGTTTCTTTGTTAGCTAAATAAGATTAAAATTTACCATTTTCAGGAACTTGAATTTTTTACTTTAACTTTTAATTTATAACACAAAAATATTTTTTAACAATATTTATTTAATTTTAAAAAAAATTATGTTCATTAATATAGAATACACGCGCAATGCGTGTGCTCAGATACTAGTATCTTATATAGTGGAGAAGTGTGTGACCTTCTTTTTGTATTTTCACACGTTTTGATTTCTTCTATTTGCTGTTTACAGAAGATTTTTCTTGAAAAAAAATGATATAAAAAATGCTAAATTTAGTTGATAGAAGGTTGATGTACAAAATCAATCGATGTGTACTAACATGAGATACAAGAAACCAAATGTGGCTTATCTTATAGTAAAAAAAATGAAGAATTAACCTATATAGCCACTTATCCAACCGCTTAAACTAAAGACATAATATACAAATGCGGAATTACGTAATGCATAGGTGGGTCACTAGGCGCCGTTAACTTTGAAAAATATTCTATGTATTTAAGTATACTAGTTTCTCGGCACGTGCATTGCACGTGTATACTGAGTCATATTGTATACGATTTTATAAAATAATATCAATATTATCAAAATAAAGATTTCAGTACATAATTATATACATGGACAAGTAAAACGCAAGTTTCTGTAAACGATTAATGTTGATCGTTGTATGATGACTTGTTTGTTGTAATCAAGATGATTGGGTATCACATAAATCTATGAAGAAGAAAAATTAAATTTTAATTAAGTACATGTATTTTTCTTACTTATTTTGATTTTATAAGGTACATACATATAATGAAGCGTTTCTCAACTGATATTTCCTTATAGATGATATTCCTGATGTAATATTTTTCATGTTTAAAATTCTTGTTGGTCGATATTAATATCTCTTTTGAAAGTGCAACGTAAAGTTGGGCATGTAAAGAAATATGTAAATCCCCAAGTAAGTCATTTAGAGATTTTAAACTCTTAGATAAGTTACCTAGAAATTACAAATTTATTTGTAAATTACTTGCGAATTCTTTCACAATTTTTTTTTAATTAAGTAGTATCAACAAAACAAATTTACCAGAAATTTTTTATGGGAAAAAGTCTACAAGTACTTTTCAAAACTTCATGTAAATCCTTAGGAAACAATAAGCCAAAAGTTATGGTAATGTGATTTCCTATGTTAATTCCACAAGAATATGTCGATACTAATCCACAAGTATATCCACAAGAATACTTTTATGGAGGAAATCCCATGAAAGCTTCATTGAAAAATTCTCGTAAAATCCTTTGGCAGAAGTTTTTAGGTAAGTTCCAAATAAATTTCTCGACGAACCTGGAATTTTATTCTAACTCCCCAAAAAATTAAGTAAATTTTCCGGAAGCAAAAATAATAATGTCTAGTTTATTTTTGTAGGTAAATTCCCATATAAAAATTGATGACACTCAAGACATTTTTCATGAAAACTCGCATGTAATTTGTACATTTTTATATGCTAATTTATTTTATTTAATCATAAATTTTATTCCACACAACTTCAGTGTCCTAAAGTGTTCATGCTATATTTTTTCTAGATACCATTCCATATAAATATAAAATAAGAATTATAACATAGGAAAACAATAAAATTTATTACATCAGTATATAATAATGTATAGTTTGTACATGAAAAAATTAAAAATCTCAAATGCGAATCCCAATTAATATAATCAACTCTCTTAAATCTGGTCAAAGTCAGTTTCATTCACATTATCAGAGTCACCATTAGTTTAATTATCAGAAAGTTAATTATCTTTATGGATAAAATTAGTGCATTCACGTGTTTCATTAGTTCTTTTAAACCTCCTATTTGTGTTATCAATTTCTTTCTTACGTCACCCAATCTTTTTATTCTATCTTTATTTGGGTGTTGTTTTTCTTGTTATTGAGTATATGTTCAAAATTTGAAAGCACAACCTTGATCTAACAATCCCATCAACTTTTTTTACTGTTGCCGTTGTTGATTGCTCATATACTTTTTAAAAAATCAATCTAAGGATTCCATGATTTACAATCCTTCCTTTTTTCTTTTGACAAACTTATTGCATACAAATAGAATATAAAGATCTTAATCGATTTAAGATATATGATATAGTTACCATATCAGTCTAAGAACATTCTACATTATAAAGTAATGGAACCAAAACACAATTTAGCATTTTCTTCACCCTTCTTTGACTTTCCTTTTAGGATTTGTGTCAAGCTTTTATGTGGAATTTATTCAATATCGGTCATATATAAAGTGTTCCACATTTAATAAACAAACAAGTGTAAAATCACTTTATATAATACCAAAACACTGATAAGATGTTAAAACTAACTTTGTGGCTTCTCCAACATAAGTTCATCATCACCATTCATGTTTGAAGACCAAATATCTTATATAGGATAAATTACTTTTGCTTTTTGTGCAAACATGGAATTCTCGAATTAGAAATCATGTTCCACACACTTCGAGAATTTAAAATTATTTAAAGCACAACTAAGAAAATTGGTCCTTGTTTGCCACCTTCTGCAATAGAAACTTGACTCAATAGTGCAACAAAAATCTCCTCAATCTCCCACCTAAAAGAGAGCAAAATAAAAAAATTGATACATAAAAAGAGAAAATATCTTCTGATTGGAAACTTTCCTTATACAATAGTTATTACTCCTTTGACTTAGCATCCTAAAAAAGTAAAAAATAAAAAGTATCGAACCAAGATATATTAGCAGTTACCATAATATAACAATGGTACTCCATAGTTTGTATTTTTAATGTAAGTAGTATAATTATTTAAAAAATTAACAAAGCTAATATAAATCTTAGAAAATTAACAATAATTGTATAAATGCTAATGGCAATAATATTTTATCTTAGTTTTTATTCATGAACTTTAAAGATAAAAAGGTTGAGAAAGTGATCACCACCGTTAACATAGAGTTAATATGCATGTTTAACTTGGGAGATATAAATAGGGGTGTACAAACCGAACCGGAAAACTGCACCTAACCGAAAAGTCAAACCAAACCGACTAAAAACCCCGATTAGGTTTGGTTTGATTTGATTTGGTATTGAGTAAAAAAATCTGAACCAAACCGACATATAAATATATAATTTTTATATATACTTTTAAGATTTTATATAGAGTTTTCTTTAAAAAATATCTAGAAATATTTGGGATTATCTTGCGGGATATAATATTTAATAGTATATGAAGTGCTCCATATTTATTAACCTTAAATAATAGATTGTGTGATCACTTTCTCATCAAGTGTTACTGAAATGCGTCAATCTCTTTGTTCTTTCATATTCGTATCATATGTTAAAGATCTACTAAATTGTCATATCTTTTTCGAATGTAAATTGATTATTATTATTATTATTATTATTTAGGTATCATATTGATTTTTATGTTTAATTACTAAATTCGATTAACCTTGAAAGTGTATATCAACGAAACATTATTATCAGACGACTAAAAAAATAACTAATATATGTTACTAAGAAAATTCTCTCATAAAATATTTTAATCGATAGTTTTTGTCAATTTTTTATATTTTTATTAAACATATATTTACTTATCAAAAATTTAACAAAGTAAGATTGAAATAATATTTAAGTAACAAAAAGCCCGAAAAACCCGAAAAATTCGACAAAACCGAACTAATTCAAACCGATATAGTTGGTTTGGTTTGGTTTTGATAAAAACCGAACCAACCCGGTCCATGTACACCCCTGGATATACGAACGGATTGCAGGGCCAATTTTGTACATCAAAGATTATATATACTTTTATGCACTTATACTTGTGGCATTTGTGTTAGAAGAAGAAGTTAGTTACGATTTTGAATGAACACAACTTTTCCGAAAAGGCACATCACATAGTTTTCTTCTCTTCCAACCTATTTAATAAATAATAATTACTAGATAATATTTATAAAATTAAAAGTAGGGTATTTAAGTTATTTAAAAAGATATTTTGATAATTTAAATTTTTGGTTCTGGGGTTCTCATTTTTAATAATATCTAATATAATAATGCATATATGATTTTTAGTTACTAAAGCCAAT